CCTGTGATAGAGTTACCCTCCCCTCCCCTCCCACCCGTTCTTCCTGTGATAGAGGGATACCTAGGTAGCTCATTGTTTATAATTATTACTTCATCATTCTAGAGCTAAGTAAATGTGCCACCTCAAAGTTTGTTTTCTAGTGCCAGCATCATTGTTTCTCAATATTCAGCGTTAGTTTGTTGTTTCTTCGTGAAGTCTCATTCTAAAGCCAGGACTTCAACTCATTCTTACAAAGTTGTGCAGTGTGCTCTACATGTCTGCACCTGAAAAAAATGTTTCAGAAAACAAAGATATTTCCTAGTTGTCAACTAATATTCTGTTTGACATCACATATACATTTACTGGTACGTATTTTGCTTCTGCAAATTGACTAAACCAGGATCTAAATTGTCTGTCTATAGGCGTCATGGATCTATTCCATTAGTATTTTTAAACTCTTGTTAAACTCTTGAAGTTCTTCCTTTTATGCCATTGTTCTAGTAGTTTGGAAAAAAATGTTTGCAGGACATCTCCAAAGTTTGTGATGAGGAGTAACAAATAAACATTGTTAAAAACTGAGACTGAGATCTTCTTCATAAGATAAACAATAAAATATGCCAAATAACACATTTCCTTCCCATTTTTTAAATTTATTTTTTTATTTTACATTAAATACAACATTTTATAACAACAATAATCTTGCCAATGCAAGAACCACCAACTTCCTGTTTATGTGAAGTATGGTCATGGCACAAAGGTTATCACAGCTCTACCGCAGTTGACACACAGGTGTATCATAGCACTAAGGAGCAAAATAGAAATACATACAATATACTTGGCTCAGTATGCAGTTGCAACATTAATTGTATATCCTTTGCTTTAGAGGCAAACTTTACAGGATACTGCAGATTAGAAGGATAAATTTCTATATAAGAATTAGAGACTGGATGAAGCATGAATATGAAACCAAGGCAAGAATATAAACATGGGCGAATGCATAAAATTAGTACAGGAACAAAACCAAATTAATATTATTCAAAAAAATATTTCAAGAAAATAGTTCCCAATAGGAAATTGAAATTATTCATAGGCCTCTTCTAGGAGAGTTCATCAGCAAAAATAGGGATTGGGTGCAATTCAAAAATATTACATGTTAAAAAGTCTTTTTGGCCAGCCTCTGAAGAAATCTCATAGCTCACTAAAAAATATTATTAATTAAAAGCAAAATCAAAACAAGTCTGACAGTATTATTATTCTGTCATGAGGCAATAATAGAATTGAACAATTTACTGCTTGTCTTTAAAATAGTAGAGACTTACTAAAAGTAATCAGCCTCTGGAATAATTAAACAAAATTGCTTAAGTAATGGTGCAATCCATGTCACCTTCCTTGGGCAAGCAGTCCAGCAGTGAGGCAACTGCTCGTGTCACGTAGCTCATGGTGCCATAACTCCCGGAAGGAGCCGAATCATAGAAATGCTGACAAATGTATGCAGCACCTCCACAGAGTAGACCTCCAGAGCAAGACATATCACGTTGTTCTCGTGGTTTGGCACAGCACAGGGTAGCATCCCCATTGACTTGCATCTAAATAAACAAATGACCAAAAGCAACACTCTTCAATGATAGTGATAGTTGGTTTCTAAATACTCCATCTTTGAACATTTGAAAAAAATGTACCTGATCCTCCAGAAAAATTTGGTTTGCTTTGTGGACTAGATGCTCTACTGCAATGACACCACCTAAAGTGCTAGCAACGTTATACTCAGACACTAAAGTCAAGACCATCAGAGCTTCAACAACAAGCTGACGATACTCAGGCTGGGGTATAGTATTTAAAACAGTTTCCACTGCTAGAGCAAATTTAAGCTCGCCAGATGTCATCTAATAAGAGGGAAAAAATAATTAATTAAAATTGATATAATTTTTGAAGTTTTAAGTTAAAGAACCGGCCACTGTGCAGATATCAACATACTTCTTGGGTAAGGTTTTGAGGAAGGACTCGGCCTTCAATTGCTAGCCCCTGGCACTGTAGACAAAGGAAAAATTATACATAGTTTGAAAATTCTTAGAATGTTTGTGCGATTGACTGATGAGATTAAATTAAATATATGTACCCTTTCAAGCACATGCCATACTCTTCGATAAAAGTCAGTAGGAACTCTATTTAAAGCTCCATCTAGCCGACGTCGCCGGAGCCACTGTCCTTGCCGATCGGAGCCAACGTCCTCTTCAGCCTCTCCTTCGGGCACAGCCAGAAGACCACCAATTTGACTTCTCTAAATAACACAAAAAACAAATCATGAAACTTTCTAGAGATAGTATCTTCATAACAGACTAAAGTGAAATATTACCTTGCTCACTCGACTTGACTTACAACTTATGACTGAGTAGTTGCCTCTCCCAACTGCAAAGGTAAAAAATCTCACTAGTGGCTAATTTTTAAATAAATGCTACAGTTGATTATTTTAATGAATTTGGACTTTACCGCTGCTCATAGCAAACTCTTTTCCACTCATAATGTGGTGGAGAAGATTTTTCATTTCAAATGGTGATAAGTTGAGAAGATGTTCCGAGGCTTCCTCACCATTACATATAAGAGAGCGAGACAGTTCAGTTGCCATTACCTAAAGAACAAAACACAGATATTACACTAAACTTTATAAAATGAGCGCATAGGAATTTACCGAGCCAACAGTAATTTAATAAAAAAAAGAAAACTATTAAATTAGCTTTTGACCTGAATGATGAGACCTGCACGGAGGCGCAACATTTCATTGAAGAGTTGGGGTTCCGTTCTGATGAACATAGCTAAGTAAACCAGCAACTCCTGAAAAGATTTAATACATTTAGAATAGATATACCAATGCAAACAAACTAAATTGAACTAAACTTGACATTTTTAAGCAAACCCTTACTTGTGTTAGCATAGCTGTACTCTCATCATCACCATATGCTTGATGTATGAGCTGTCTTAATTCATTCTCAGGTAAAGGCGCAGTGATGGTGTGCTCATTTGATGGAGGCATTCCTACAGTCACCTACAAAAAGTGTGAGCATACACAGTAAATTCATGCAGTTTGACAGTTTGAATAGGGAAAAGTTAAAAAACAGCACTTTGACTTGTAGAAGTTTACCTGTTTCTGACGAACTAGTATATCAGTCACTGCTTTTGCAAGGTCTTCAACACGTTTCCCAAGCATACCCGCTGTATGACGAACAAGACCCCACAGCTTCTGCTGAGATGCTTTCACATAGAGTATTTTCAGAAGATCCTTAACTGTAACCTCCTTCCCATCTTCCACAATGCCTAAAGACAGGGAAAGTTTACAGGTAAGTACATGCATAATAGGAAACTAGCATCTGAGAATGGACAACGTCACAATGCCCCTATCTCACCTGTATTAAAGTTCAGGCCCTGTGTATCCACTAAATACTGCAAAATATCCCCTTGCTCTTCAAGGTGTTCAGATTCTCTTAACATGGTTAATAGCTCCTCCACTTCAGTGTCCGCATACTGTGTTTCTGACTGAAGCCTACGGGCAACGACCTCACTGGTCACATGTCAATAGCAGGAGAAAGGAAGGGAGAAAAACAAGAGAGATAGGAAAGAAAAAGAAGACCCAACAGTATTTTCTCTAATTTAAATGGTACACAAACCTATGCCTTGTTGGTGTTTGCTTCCATAACGGAACTAAATCCTCAGGAGAAGGACTACGATTTTTCCCATCTGTACTGCTTTCTGATGGACGTCTTTCAGCGTCTCCCACAGGAACACCTAAGGAATCCGCTTTAAAAAAGAAATAATTGATGAAGTATTCAAGATGTAAATTCCTTATGCAGAGGGTTGCTCTGAAGAAGTTTTAAAGAGACTTACTTTCAGCTAGAATAATGGATCTAGTTTTCTTAATTGCTCCCTTCACAGACATTCTCCTACGAAGGTTCTTCTTCCTATCAACAGTTTTTGTTAAAAGTTGACTTCTGGTGGCAAGAGATTTCATCATGTGATCTTCTAAGTATTTTTCCACTGAAGGATTGAGTCCTGGATGCAGAAGAAAAAAAAAAGTTACACATTCTGAACTCAATTTGATTTAAGTTACTGGATGAGAAGACACTCACGATCAGGCAGCCCATCCTCTTGACTACCAAGGAAGCTGAGGTTGGTAATACATGAAGTGCTTAAGAACTCACTAAGGTTTCCTAAAGTCACTCTAAAACATAAACAAAGAAAGAGTTCTGTAGGGCATGTCTAAACATAGCACAATATAGGTAGATACATGATTTGATCTTCATTTTGGAGTTACCTTGTTCCACTAATGTACCCGCTTTTCAATTTTTTCATAGTAGTAACCATAGCCAGTGGGATCTTCCCATTATCTGAAGCAATAATTCATAAATTAGATCTAACCGAATTTTGGAAATCAACTCACCTTCTCTCATGACCTTACTACTGCTATAATACAAAGCAAAAAGTGCGCATAAGGCATATTTATTCCATTCACAGATCCTGTACTAATTGGTTAATCCTTCCCCCCACCCCCCTTTTTTCTTGCTTTTTTTTCTTAAACGACAGGCACCCAGCACAACTCCTTAAATACAACATGTTTTGAAAGTAAAGGCAACTCTTGAATTTAAAAAATGCAGCCTTCCAAGTAAGACATCATGGTAATGCAGGGAAGATTTTTCACTTTTCACTTACTGTATGAAGAGTGGGCAAGTACTAGATTCTTCACAATTTTAACCATATAATTTATAAGAGAAAAATATTTCCACAAATTGCATGAATAAAGCATTTTTACCATTAGCAAAATATTACCTAAATGGCTCTGGTTGCAGACGATGACATAAGTAGGGCGGCCCAAAGTGTTCCGCCAATTCATAGCCAAAAATGCAAAATCAGTCACAAAGTTGCTGGCCAAAAAATCAATATCGCTCACAGTATAGACTTCTTCCAAATCTGTTTTCTAAAAATATATCAAGCAAATTAGACCCATGCACTGTTAGTAAAAATCTTCATGTCATGAATATTCACAAGGGAGAATCTTAGATCTAAATGTTGCAGAGCAGGACACAAAGAAGGGGGAAAACATAATGTAAGGGCAGTCATGGAATAATTAGCTCTTATGGTTCAAAGTGAAAAATAATTACATTCTACATAACATTTGAGGAGTAGCCATGCAGTCAGCAGGAAAATGCAAAAATATCTAGCAGTTGCACTTGTTCTGTCAGGCCAGATAACACTAAAATGGCTTTACTCCACATCTCTTTGTAGATTAGATATTTTTTTTTTTTTTGAAAAGCACACAGGCAAACTTGTATATTATTAGTAAATATTGTAGCTGCTTTCATTCCAATAATGCTTTGCTGTTAACTTGCTGTCCTGTACCTAAGTGCATGCTCTTGATGGCAATGACGATCAGGGGGCGACCCAGCATGTTCTGCCAACTTGACTTCAGGAAGTAAATCTCACTCTTGAGGATATCAATCATCAGTTCGTTGTCAGATACAATGTAGAAGCGAGTCAGGTCGGTCAGCTATGACACAGTATACAATGTGTGTCAAAAAAGAGCACTACCTAAATTTGATTTTAGATACTCAAGAAAAGCACTGATGTCTAAAAAGATTTGTTTGGTATTAAAACAATAGTAGCATAATAGAAATAATAGCCAGGATGAATGTGGAGTGGTACACAGAAGTTGAGAAACAAAGCAACTTTATGACATTGATAAGGATGAACAGATCTCTACAACAAATATAAATAAAATCAAAGCCTGGTGCAACCTTATATAACAAAGAAATGAAATACTATTGCCCTAATTTTCCAGATCAATATCTTTTTTCTTACCTGTGGTGTAAAAGCAAATATACGATCATGGAGTGAATACAGCTTGCTCGTGCTCAATATTCCTACATCACGTGATTTGCGACCAGAAAGACCAAGTTTTTTGTTCCTCCCTGCAAAGACATTGAAAACAAATGAGTTATTTGCCATGTGCTATTGAGTTGTTTTTTTTTTAGCTAAACATTTATAGACAAATTTTATGACAAAATGTTAGACAAGCCACCACACCTAGATATGTGTACAGATGGGACAAGACTCGAGCAGACTGAACCTCAATTGGAGCCACCTCTGCTATAGTTTGCACACATATGTCATGCTGTCTCAATTTCTCACGGATTTCATTATCTTCTGCTAGGATTACAACCTGTACAACAACATCTGGTTTCTTTTCAGAGCACAGCCTCCGGTTCAGAGGGTCAAGCTCTCCAACAGCCAAAAACCTCTACAAATTTCAATACAATATTTAAAAAAAAAAAAAAGAGAGAGAGAGAGAGAGAGACATGAATGAACTTTAACAGTAGTTTGATTGCCAATACAACCTTGAAACAATTACTATACTTACATCCTGCAGAAGTTTCCCTAAGATGTACAGAGACTGAGCCCAGAGAAAAGGACAATGACCCAAAGCCATTCTTTCCTGGCTACCTGGATTTCTGTATTCATCCGTAACTTTACTGGCAGGTACTGCAAAAAGTTCTGGAACTAACTTCATCCCAGATTCTCCTTTTATGATAACCTTGAAAAATGAAAACTCACAATAGATTAAAAGAGCTAACGGCTTGGGTCCAAATGACATTTAAATTTGCTCCCGTACTCACTGATTCTAGAGCGTCAGTGTATTTTTCTGCAGCTTCCCTTTGACCCATGAAAAATGCATCCAGAATAAGGTAGCAGAAGAACAAGGGCCACTCGCACTCAATGTTTTCGAACATTCTTAGCTCCCAGGGCTCATAGTACAAGCGGTTGGGGTCCTGAGCACACATGAGGGAATGACATGAGTCTTAATTCGACTGTGTGGTGTGTGTGAAAGAGAGAGAGAGAAATAAAGAGAATGAAATTAGAACATACCTCTTTAGGGGTGCGATGTCCATCTCTTAAAAACCTTTTGCAACCATAACGGCCCTGCAGCTTGGAGACAATAGTTTGCCTGGTTTGATAAATAAGTTGGGGATCATCTACAGCAAAGGCAGGAAAACTGATAACTGAGAGGAGACCACTGTCTATTTCTTTGGAGCTGGACTCTCGAGGCAGCATTGACTGTAGAAGAATCAACAAAATATAAGAAAACAATAAGATAAAGGGAGGACAAAATTATCTCGAATTCTCTTGTACTGTATTACATGCAAGACGGCTTGACACTTCTGTGCCTCATCAGCAAGAACATGAATAATAGACGAGGGTCCTCCTCGAGCTCCAAACAAGTCCAGCTCATTCATTGCTTCGAGGGCTGCCTTAGCCATTCCTATTGAGCTGGCATTGAGTTCAGGGAGACCATGATTCGCCTTATCTCCTCGTTCCCAAATTCCGTAGTCCTGGGAAAAAGAGAAAGATCACTGATGTTAGGGATTTGCCGTGGAATCCGTCACATACTAAGAGGCAAAAAAAGCTGATAAGCTCAAAATTTGTAAGAAAATACTAACAGGTATACAGTAAGCTGATTCAATGTAAAATACCAAGTTTTGAATAAAGGAAACCTCATCTAGACTGAAAATAATCTGTAGACCTGTCATACACAGAAATGGTCAGTAAAATATAGTTAGTAATTATTGAGATAAAATCAAAAAAATTAGTCTAGCTCTTGACAGTTAAGAGTGAATACCTGAGGCTGTCATCTGTGCAAGCACGAGTAAATACAAGGAGACGGCATCAATTTGAAGATGTCCCCATTCTGCATCGCCAACAACGGATTGCCCTGTAGTCGATGAATATTTAGCATGTAGTGAATCAAGAGGATTTTGAGAAATCTTAAACTTTTCAACTTTGTCCTTTTGCTGCATCATTGCCATCAACAATCCTCTCATAAGCTTCACACAACTCTAAACCAAATGAAAATATGTAATAAATGTGTTGTTAAATTGTGACAACATTCAAAGTTTGGAAAGAATCGATCCAAACTGACCTGTTCAAGTTCATAGGTTTTGGCTCTGTCCTCATCCATGTCAGCCATCTTTTTGTAGGCCATTGAGAGCCCCCACACGGACAGAACACAGTAAACATTATCACGTATCCAAGCATGATCGTTCTCTGGACTGGCAGGAAATAAGCCTGTAACAGGGTCCTGCAAATCCAAAACAAATTATGGTTACACTGCTCATGTCCACATGAGAGATTCTATTAAAGACCAGTGTTTATGTTTACCTGATGGCACATAATCAGTTTGTGGGCTATCCGCTGGTAGTAGTCCAGGCGGGCCCCTGAGTTGCTTCTACTCCTCATGATGAAAGCCAGGGTTGCTTTTACAAATGACTAGTTGTCTTAAGTTTTCTTTCACCACTTTGCGGTGCTGTTACATCAACATCACTTCCGCGGGGCTCACAAAACTAATGTGAAGGGCGAAAGAAAGAGGTTAGAGTAATCGGCAACAAAAGCTTCAAACTGATTTCCTGCAGAGGATGACAGCACAATTGACACCGACAAAAAGATCTCTGAAACTTAGAAGTACCTAAACGAGCCCCAAGCATAGCCGCCAACGAAATGTTTATTTTGAAAGATTAAAATGTTGCAAGTACTTTCTGCTCCCCTCCCCCCGACACACTGCGAATGTCCTCTGTCCTCTGCTCCGCTCGGTCGGGCTCGGCAGGGATGAGGCTCGGAGCCGAGTCGTCTGCCGATCTCACCCGAGGCCGTTCAACTCAACCAATGAAATCGCACGGATCGCCCGCTGTCTTCCCCGAAAATCGCATGCGCGGATTTCCCGGGAATTCCCAGCCATCCATCGCGACTACCGGAAAATCAACATGTCAAATAAGTCGAGTACAGTAATGTCCCTCTCGAAGCTGGCAAATCGGGACCGGATTTCAGCTTCGAGAGGACGACCCGAAAGTTAGCCACATGTTGCGAACCTATTGTATTCGCGGACTCGGGCATCAGGCGGTTGTAAATGCTTTGTCGCCCGAGCTAGCGCGAGCTCGCCAGGTTGTAAACCCCCATCCTTAAGCAGGGTCCGTCACAAAATTTCAGCTTCGAGCGAGCCAGCTTCGAGAGGGACATTACTGTACTCGATACTAGTCCCTAAGACTGTCTCTACCAGGGGGGCTTCTCGGGAACCAAGTCGTGAGAGAACGAGCGTGCCGTGAACGCGTGAAGGAACGGCCACAGGGAACTGGTTCCCGAGAAGCCCCCCTGAAGGAGAAAACTCACCCCCCCCCCACTCGCTTTTCCTCTAGAACAGGGCAGCAGGGGCTCATTAACAGTAACAGTAATACCCCCGGCTGTGGCTTTATCACCTTAACACGTTCCCTGCGGCGTGACCACTATGTGGTCACGCGCAGACCTCACTTTGAAAAATTGTGGACGGGCTACGGTTTGAGTTACTATAGAGATGACGTTTTGGGTTTTGCCTTATAAAGGAAGAAAGTATCTCCAGTTTTTCCAGGATAGCAACGAGACCCTAGCCGTTCTAGGGGGCGTGACCACACAGTGACCACACCGACCAGACGCATGCAAATGGCATGGTGTCCAGCGATGGCCGCACCTAACACAAGAGGTTCCAGTCCCATGGACGGCAGATGCCGCACACAAGGCCTGTCCATGTCCAGCATGCCCCAGGTGCCGTGGTCACGCGTGGTCACAGAACCCCGAAACAGCGTGCTTGCGAGCATTCTGACCAAGTGTTGTCACTCGTGGTCACACATCACTCACGGCGGCCCCTGTCAATTTCCTAACACCCTGCGGTCACGAGTGGTCATCACACATCACTCAGTGCGGCCCCTGTCAAATTCCCCGACACCCTGTGGTCACGAGTGGTCACGAGTGGTCACGCCGCACTCAGGGCTGTTCTCTGGGAGTTCTCCGGCACCCTGTGGTCACGCGTGGTCACACCCCACCCCACTGGAAGCTGTCCCCCTGCCTATTTTCCGACACCCAGTGGTCACAGGGTCACGCCTCACTCTGGCTGTTCCCTGGGAGTTTTTCGACTCCCTGTGGTCACGCGCACGCGCGTGGTAACAACTCACTCAAAGCTGTTCCACCGACTATTTTCGGCACCCCGGGCCCTCGCACTCTGTCCGGCACCAAACACGGTTCCCGGGGACATCCGTCTCCGGTATCCGTATGGGGCCTTTCAGACTTCGATCGCTCCCCATAGCTGCCATCATGATAGGACGTGGGGTCCTCGAAGCCAGGATTAGCATACTTGCTCTGCAATGTGCCCTGGTGGAGAGTCCTCGCCAGTAGGACGGCACTGCCGGACCGAAAACCTGTGCGTCAACACTGACGTGGGTATTACTGTTACTGCGGTCACGGATGGTCACGCCTCAGTCAGGGCCGTTTCCTGCGAGTTCCCCAGCATTTTGCGGCCACGCTTGCACATGCTACGTCAAAACGGCTCATTCCGAAGCTTTCTACAGAGTTATTTCCAAATATCTTAGGACCAGTTGACATTTTTTGAACCCCGACGTCATCATCGGATTCAGATTCCCCTCTTCGAGACCTTTCAAACGAGTATAAGGTTGATAGGGTTCTGACGGCTCCTGACCTAACTTCTTTCCGCTCCTCTCACTCTCAGCTCGGCGCTCCGCCACGCCTCCGCCTCGCTTCTCCACCAACACGGTAGCATGGGCTCCGGAGTGTGTCTGTGGCGACCTCAGCTTCGTCCCCTCTCCCTCGGCCAAGCCTCCGGGGCCACGCCCCGGAGCTCTTGGAGCGGTGTGGCCTGGTCGAGGGGGCTGTCTCCTTAGCCTTGTGGGCTAATTTGTTTTTCGGCCACATTGCACCGTCTGCTGTTGTCCGGGGTCAATTATTGGACGGCTGGAATCGCCATGCCCACACCGCCCCACGCCCCACCATTGTGATGTAGCAACCTCATTTTAGTACAGTTTAAAGTCGTTTTAGTGTGTCAAGGCGAAAGTGCACTAATTGAGTATACAATTGATCTTTTCGTGAGTATTCCGATCGACACTACTTTCCGTTTGCTCTTGACAGCACCGGGGGGGGGGATACCCGTCGCCGGATCTAGCCACATCGAGTGGACTTCAAACCCATCATTTCACCAGGCATTCGTCGTGGAGTTTCTACGGCGTGGTGGTTACCATCCTGGTTCCCATTGCGTCAAAAGGTGACGATACTCGGTTCCGGAACCAAAGTTCCCTCCCTGGCTATGGGTTCCGACTTGCACGAAAAGCGGGTATAAGCGGTTCCCTTTTTCTGCCACCTTGCTGTGGTGGCGGGTGCGTTTAAAAGACCTAGGAAGACCTAGGTCTTTAACGGAGCCCCATGACCTGTGGTTCGGCTGATCCCGTGTTTCTCTGTGGTGAGATGAGGAAAGTACTCTACCATTTTAAAACAAGTTGCAAGGTGTACCAAATGAATTTGCTACATAATTAATCTGCTCGTTCTTTACGGAATTTGTTTTGTGCTTGCCAGGGCACGTTGTTTTTGGTTTTGTGCATGTAGCGCCTGCAAAGCAGTAGGTAGGCAATCCCGCCATGCAGTCATGTGACATTGGTGGTGGTACGTTATACTGGTAGGGGTTCTGGCTCTGGGGTTTGAAATGGCGGTGAAGTCTTCTTGCGAGACAGTTCACGGCAAAAAAATTGTCCCCGGATTCAATGAAACTTTTTTTGCATGTGGCATTTTATATTTTATATTTGGTGTATGCCTGCCTAGCGTCCTAGTTGGCCCCATTCCTGGGGCAAAAAGTCTGTTTTCTCACTTTTGAAAAATAAGGAGAAATGTAAGTAGGGATGGGGAGTAGGCTGGAACTTGTGAGTTGGCACAAGCATCTATGAGATAAAAAGATTCAAATATTGTTTTTAAAAAAAATCAATAAAAAAATAAAAAACTACATTTATTTTTAAAATGTTTAATTTGGAAATAGCTCAAATGATGTCAACATGTATTCTGTTGAGAAAAATTGTAAAAGTGGCTGATACTAACTTTGATTTATGCTGAAAGTTTTGTGACACATGGACTTTTACTTTTTAAGCTGTGGGGATTGCGCATTCTCTGACCATCCAACTTGTGCCAACTGAATCTCTTCGACATGGCTGGAATGGATGACTATGAATTACCTATGTTTCAGTTAACATTCTTTCATGT